CTGACAGTTACAGCCCTGCTGACAGTTACAGCCCTGCTGACAGTTACAGTCCTGCTGACAGTTACAGTCCTGCTGACAGTTACAGTCCTGCTGACAGTTACAGTCCTGCTGACAGTTACAGTCCTGCTGACAGTTACAGTCCTGCTGACAGTTACAGTCCTGCTGACAGCTATATAATCATTATTACTAATTCATTCTAATTTCTGCACAGTATACAACCGCTGCATACACAATTTATATGAACTTAACTCTTGAACTGACGATGGAGCTGGACTCCGAAAAGTTTTCATTCTTAAGAAATGGTTAATATTCTGGCTGTTTTCTTTGCTTTTAAATTCCTGGTAAACTTGCGACTTAAGCAATCTAGTAATTTTTAAACTTAATATATTAATTAATATTATTATAATTATTATTATATGAACGTAATATATTTGTACAAATTCAGTTAATGACCAAAAAATGTAAATGATTCAATAGAATACGACGCGGTGTAATGTGATGAATAATGTACTGAGGGGCTGCAATAGAGTGGGACTATAGAGAGGGACTATAGAGTGGGACTCACTATAGAGAGGGACTATAGAGTGGGACTCACTNGGGGGACTAGAGAGGGGGACTATAGAGGGGGACTATAGAGTGGGACTATAGAGGGGGACTATAGAGGGGGACTGTAGAGGCCAGAGGGGGAATGTAGAGGGGGACTATAGAGTGTTACTATAGAGCGGCACTAGAGCGGCACTAGAGGGCAGTAGCCACACCTCCTGCAGCAGGACGAAGGCCTGGGTGTAGACGGGGGGCGTGTGGCTGAGCTGCTCCTTGAGGTTGTCCCAGAAGGCCTGGTGCACCATATCCCGTACCTGCCGCAGACGTGGTGTTAGTGAAGCACTAACTCTTATATAACAAACGTTGGGGCAGCACTAACTCTTTGTTATAAGAAACATTGCGGCAGCACTAACATTTTGGTTCCAAAACTCACAAACAGGCTTCTCATCTGGCATCTAGAAACAAACTCTGACCATATGCAAAATACTATAAGGTAAATATTTTCAAATGGTACCTAATCTATCTATAACTATAGACAAAATCAAAATTTTCCATCTACTGATCTATTATGAGCCAATTTGCACATAAAAAGCATGTTTTCAATGATCAATTCAGATGGAACCTCAAATATTCACTTGATATGGGCTGGCGCAGAGAAGCTCAAAATTTAACAAATGTTTTTCCAGACTGGCTTTGAAAATTTCAAATTTAAAGTACCCGTTTTTCTAGACTGGCCTTGAAAGTTTGATTTAAGTGCCTGTTTTTCCAGACTGGCTTCAAAAATTTCAGATATAAATTACCTGTTTTTAAAGACTGGCTTTGAAAGTCTCAGATATAAAGTGCCCACTTTTCCAGACTGGCTTCAATAGTTTCACATTTGAAGGACCTGTTTTTCCAGGCTGGCCTTGAAAGTTTCGAATTTAATTTACCTGTTTTTCGAGACTGGCCTGCGGAGGCTCAAACTTCTCGAGCTTGAAGTTGTGGTCGAGCGCTATTTCATGCGCCAGTGCCATGTTGGTGACTCCGTTGACTGCGCTCATGACTTCATCGAGTGACATGAGCGGGGGACTGCCGCTCCCTCCGCTGGAGGATGAAGACACAAACGTCGACGAAGGGGAGGAGGACAAGAGAGTGGAGAAAGATGGGGAAGAAGGGGAGTTAGAGATGCCTTGGCTAGGTGGTGGGAAAAAGAAAGAGGAGAGAGGGGATGAGGAGAGGGATGTCGTCCGCCGTCTGAAACAAATAAGACAAATTAGCCTTAGGCAGAAGGCTGAAATAATGGCCATATTTATTACTGATATGAAATGGTTCATTCGTGACTACATTGAAAAATTTAATAATTGATGAATAGAATCTTCATATTAATGTCATCACCATCACATTTTTGAGTCAGCCATTACTCAAGAAATATAACTCAGTAATTACTTCAGCGAATGACAGAGTACATTTTCTCGACAACAAAAACGTGAAGTCACGGACGGACGGACATGACGAGCACACTAGCACCTTTTGTCCATAAATGAGAAAGTGCACTTAAAAGAATGAACTCTCACCAAAATTGTCAGAAGAAGTTCTCTTTGAGGCATAGAGACGGGCAGAGAGCAAATTACACATCCGGTATATGAAGACAGTAATAGCCTATATATTCTTTCAATAAATGCATCATATTGAATATGGTTCTTGAAATTTCTATGGTGGCAAATGTGACAAATTATTAATATATTAATGTAAATGACAAATTATTAAGCAATAAAAGTGTTAATTAATTATTTCCTACTACTATAATATGAATTAATGTAGGTGACAAAATATTAATTAATATAAGTGTTAATTATTAATTACCTATTGATATAGGTAATATTAATTAATGAAAGTGATAGATTATTGATACTACTATTCATTCAACAAAATGTATCACCTGAATGTTGTTCATTAAATTCCTAGGGTGGCAAAAGTGACAAGGATGGCTGGTATGTTCTGATCAGTCATGAATGAAAGTTAATTAAAGAGAAATTTATTAATGAACCATAAAATATAGCTCCATAAAATTGGTTGGAAACTCTCTTGAGATGTACGGTACCTATAATAATATTATGGAGCCAGCTGCTTGCCACCAGTTATGGTCAAATATATTCATAAGAAAATATTTAATAAGACTTGGTAATTGAATGATGGAATGTTACTGTAGGTATATTGATAAATTTTGATTGCACACAACAGTCCTTATATGCATATTGTCTAAGTGCTTATTTTAGTATTAAGTTGTTAAGATAAACTTGATATATATATATACCGGTACTCTAAAAAATTCAACTAGTACCTAAGCTGCATCTAGAAGAAAACTAGTTAGTAGAGATGCAGTTATTAACAATTTGATGATTAGACTTAATAGTGTTTGAAAGATGTTGAGCAACTCAAATGCATCAACATTCAATGGAAAGCAATGTGATAATTCTAAAGTATGATAATTTAAACCAGGGTGGGATTCTAGAGGGGTTATAAATTACCAAAACACATAGCATTTTGGAAAGACCATCGCAGAGCAATCACTGTATGGACATAATGACATTTCAACCCATCACATTTGGAAAGGATCATGTATTCACCCTCAGATGAAAGTAAATTTATGCATTATTCAAGAATTTAAGCCTGATTTAAACTACATGTGATTTAAACTGAATATATACGTACTAAACTACCTGAAACTATATATGTGAAAATTCTAAAGTATGACAATTTAAAGTATAAATGTGATTCAAACTAAATATATACTAAACTACCTGATTTAAACTACATATACATCTGAAAATTCTAAAGTATGACAATTTAAACTATATATGTTATTTAAACTAAATACCACTAAACTACCTTACCTGATTTAAATTTTATATGTGAAAATTCTAATGACAATTTAAAGTATAAATGCACGGCAAGACCAGAAACCTCTTCATCCTGTCAGAAGACGGACTCCTGGCAGAGTCGCAGCTGCTGTTGCTGTCGTGTCGCAGGCGGCCGGGGTTGCTGCCGGCAGCACTGCCAGGGATTGTGCTGCAACTGCTCGTCTGCACACCACAAATATGATTAATTTAATCAAGTTTTTTGTTTCAATTATAAATACAATCAAGTAGATTTTTATAATTACCATAAAAAAATTATTTGCTTATACTTTTATAAATAATTTATATTGTCTCTAGTCTCTACTAACAGGAAAACTGGTTCTTGTTATTAAAGTAACAGAAAATCTACAGTATTTTCTAGAAAAACAACTGCAAAACTTGCATTTTCAATTTGAGAAATTTTGTACTATATTTTTCACTCCAGTTGATTATATTGGACATGACTGAATTAATTAATTATGTACTTAAAGTATATCCATAACATATGTCCATATAGTATGTCCATAATGTACCTATGGTCATATACTAGGTATGTCCATAAAGTATGACCATATAGTAGTACATCCATATTGTATGTACCTATGTCCATATAGTTTTTCCATAAAGTATGTCCATAACATCTGTCCAGAAAGTACCTATGTCCATTTAAAGAAAAGTTGTGGCTCAGACACCAGAATTGATACAATTTTTTACCCCCAAAAGCAGTAATCACAGAAGTGGCAATATAATATCTCTTTGCATAACATCAGTAACTCAAGAACAGCCTGTCACATTGGGGTTTTATAACTTGCCTTCATACTTGCTTATTCAATTTTGCACAATTATTGAGCACAGTGAGACAATATTTAGCAACTTCATCACCTGTGACTGGCTACTTTAACACTCAAAATTGCACAAACTGCTTATGAGAAAATGAATGTTGGAATTTGTTATGATAGTATAAGCCCGAAAATTCCTTTTAGCTTTGATGTTTAAGCATACCAAATGTTTAAATGATTTATTCTAGAAAGACATTACAATTTATCATTCACCATCAGCTTCAAAGGCCAGATCCCTTGTGGGATCAATTCACAAAAAGTGCAAGAATCGGCAACAGGCCACGGGCCTATTTCTTCAGTGCCAAAACTTCTATTCTAGAACAAGACAAGCCAGATTAATTGACAATTAATCCAACCCAATTAATAAACCCACAATAATACCCTGATTACTCAGGGAGGATTCCACAGAAAAATACATTCCTTATCACAAATAGCATTCAATTCCAATACAAAAAATTTATCTCAGAAAATCTCCCAGGGAACTGGAAAATTGACAAATACAAAGGACCTCCCAACAAACTTTGTATATTCAGCTCAATAATGCCCCTTTTGCAGGGAAATGATGTTTAAATTATAAGGCAATTAATCCTGCTGATGCAAGATTGCAAGCTGTTTTACTTATTTAGCTTTCAATTAATTGAATATGGTTGAAGGAATTGTACTGAAAAGTATAGAAAGTCTATGTAAAAATTAAGAATATGTTTCAATTTCTACAGACTTTATATTAAAAATATAGACTTATAATTCACAATCAAAATCCTTTCATATGCCTAAAAAATTTCAGGCTGATTCAAAGTTAATATAAATAGAGTTGTGGTGAATATTTATTTCATCTTTAATAATGAATCTTAGATTCCTACCAAAAAGAGAAAGAGATTTGTAAATCTGAGTTTCACAAGATCCATGGAATCACTGTGTAATATCAACCACAAATTATATTATTACAGTAAAATTGTTAGCTCTTCTACAGCCCTACAAAGCTTGACTACATAAGGTCTGACCTTAGGCTTGACAGGCTCAGTCTGTGGCACGTCCTCCTCATGCTTGGACGTCTTGAAGTTCTTGGTGTCCTCGTCCTCAGCGTCCGTGGTCAGCTTAGCCGATTTGTCTGTGCTGCCCATCCTGCTCACTGTAAAGCTCCCCAAAATAATCACTAATTACTAAAATTTTACAAATGGCCCCAAAAATTTATGCAGTATAATTTACACTTGACTATATATAACTGATTATCTTGAATTTTAATGTAGAAAACTGTTCAATTATTATATATATTTTTGGGAGAATTTATTGTTTTTAATAAACGTTTCCTTTTATAGTTCTGCAAGGGAATAAGAAAATAATTGGCCAGAGATCACTGTAGATAATTTATGCATTTCCATCAACCTTTAATCCTTTATCAACACTCAGTCAGATTTCATAATCATACTTGCATCAATATTGTATGGAAGCTAGTTATGGTAGGTATCCATGATGCACAACTGGTAATAAATGGTACCTATATCAAAACATAAGTATTATATTGCATGAATATCATAGAGAAGCAAGTTATGGTATCCACAATACAGGACTGATTGACTGGTGTGTTCAAGGCAACCGCCATCCCACAAATAATTTTATGTATTATTTCATCACATTGGTCTACATTTTCAAGTGAGAACAAAACATTCCCAGACATGGTGGCTGGCAAATGCTAATATATATTGCACACTAGTATTCTTGGTCTTGTGAACAAGTTTAATGAAGAGATCTTCCTGAGACTTCCTCTCCACTGACCACTGCGTATATTAGTATATACATAATTTTCTGGCATTGAATTCACCATTATTTCATATTAATAGAATTTCAAGTTGATATTAAGTTGATAACAATTGCTTATTGGACTTGGAAATGAGGGAATTTTTTAGTAAATTAGCATCAGGTTTAGTTTCCAGCAAATAATTTCTTCCAGTCAAGATAAGTCAAAGTCATCTTTTCCAAAATTAAACTGCAATGGCAGTCCAAAGTGCAAAGAATTATCTGAGGTTTCATTTTTAGTGCATTTTCTCATTTATGGAAAAAAGGCACTATTGTGCTCGTCATGTCCATCTGTCTGTCTGTCCTACCGTCCGTGACTTCACGTTTTTGTTGATGAGAAAATGCACTCTCTGTCACTTACTGCAGTGAGTACTGACTTATATTTTTTCATCATTCTTTGGGCTCCTCCAAAATTTTATTCAATAGCTCATGCTGGGTCCTGGTAAAATTCTACTACAAATTATTCTTTTAAAAATTTTGGCCACTGTGATAGAAAATTAATGTTCATGCATGTAGAATGATAATGAACTAAAGCCTCAGTCATTGCAGGGCTGGAAAAGTCCTGTTTTTGTCTGAAATATCACGGCTCTAATATCATATAATTTCAGTAGGTATGAAATCTCGTGGCTCAAATGTCACAAATTTTTGTTTGATTGAAAAATCGCGGTTTGCACTTCGGAAACATGTCATTTCATAAAATTTTCAACTTCCGCAATCCGCATTGCTTTACCGTTCCAGCCAAAATATCCTGCAGAAAAAACAAACATCATAATGTAAACAAATCAACTAAACGTTTTGTTGAAGATCGCACATAGTTGCGGTCATGTCAAAGCGGTCAGACTGCTATTAACATGTGCTCAACTTACAGTAAAGACAATTTTTATTGTTGCCGTTTGACTGTTTTAGGGTATAATTAGAGATTTGGGGTAACACGTGCATGGAGTTTGTAAATAAATTCGTGCCTCATAAATGGCTTTTAATGGCTGAGATATGGAAATCACGGCTCGGCGAAATGGAATCACGGCTGGCAAATCCATAAAACCACGCCTCAAAAAATTCAGTCGCGGCTTGCCAAGTAGATATATTCCATCCCTGAGTCATTGATGGGCTTGGGGCACAGTTCAAAGATAAGCTATTTTAGAATTTAGAGTGCCAGGCTGCCAGCCCAAAGACTGCTCCATTGAAAAAATATTTTAATAACACAATAAGCTTTAGTGAGTGTTGAGAATAATCAATAATGAAAGGCTACATGATTAGACTTTTCCCACTTGTTTCTGAAATCTTGCACCTCATTTGACAATTTTTGCTACATTTGGAATCTCGTGGCCTGATAGTGCATTTTTGTTAACAATTGTGGTATTATTGCAGATTAACTACATCCAAAAAAAAGGGTGTTTTTTTTTAATTATATGTTTTTTGGGGTGTAGATTACGAATCTGAAATCTTAAGTTTCATTCAAGATGTCGTGCGCTACGTGTGATCGGTATTATTGCAAAAAATCGGTTTTCCGATGCCGACCGCCAAAAATGGATTTCAGATTCGTAATCTACACCCCAAAAAACATATAATTAAAAAAAAACACCCTTTTTTTTGGATGTAGTTAATCTGCAATAATACCACAATTATATTATATAAGAGGTAATTCATCTGGCAGAAATCTCGCAGTTCCGGAAATGGTGGGAACTGGGAAAGCTCTAGAGTCTAGTTGCAGCCATAAGGTTAGAAGTTTTCCATGCTTGAAGTTGATAGGCTAAGGCTACAGCCTACAAGTACATGTGTAAACAGTGTATGATCTATGTTATTGTTATGCAAATAAATTCAACAAATATGGAACAGAAGCTACCAGGCAGGCTTTTCAGTATTCACTACATTGGACAGTGGACACTACATTTTACACTGCAAATGCAAAGTAATAGAAGTAGAGATCATCTCAGATTCTCAGGAATGCATCAAAAACATAAAATTTAGCTACCAAAATTTGTTATATTAGGTATGCCATATTGCTGTAGACTTTTAAAAGAAGATTGTTTCATTTAATGTAATTAATGATGAACAACTGTTTAAAATGTACATAATATCAACGTTGCACAATCTGTAACCAGTGTAATGCAAGTTGTCAAGTTTTGCAACCTCTATTGCAATTGCAGTCAAGACTGCTCGAACTCCAAGTGATCAGTCTGATCAGCAAACGCAAAGTACTTCATATAATAGAATCGTCAATTGAAGATAATTAGCCTAACTAAATTAAAGAATGATTCAATAAAATGATTTAGGACGGCAACGACGAAGTATCGTGTTCATAAATCAAACGTACATTAACACAAAACTTTCTCCACAACCCGCTAACCGCAGCCAGCTGACGGAGCTCGGAAGCCTTCAACTGTTAGGTTTACGATGCGTGACCGCTGTCACGGTTGTGACGTTGCTCGTTCACGCGATCGATAAAATACACGTTTATCTTCTCCAATATTAAATTTTCCCTGATTACTAATATCATTCATTATATATTATGAAAAATACAAAGGCTAGGCAATAATTTCCGGGACAATGCACGAGAAAATTCGAGAACCGTCGGGACGACTGCAAGCACCACGGAGCTCACTGAAGCACACCTCTTCTCAACTCAATAGCCTTTGTTAAACTGACGCTGAATCGTATGTGTGCGGCCACAAAGTCAGCTGTTCCTTGTTCCTTTGATGACGTACAAAAAACGAAGCTCGCTATTGGTTGCAACTGATGACGTCATGAAAATAACGGCATGTAATTGGCGGAGGATCATGTGGCCGCATTGCTTTGTATGCTCGTCCCCTGCACTTGGAGTTAATCTTTACCAAGATAAATGCAACGCAGTTTCTTCAGAGCGCCATTAGCCTGCATACGCAGAAAAGAAAAGCCCTTTACACAGGGTTCAAGTTGAGAGGAGAAATAAGTGGGTGAAACGGCTAATTTTAGCAGGTTGCAGGGTAGCCCTCTTGGCAAAGTATCAGAAAGGGAAATACCTTACGGCTGCAGACTGTTGCCATCGCATTTATATTTATTTTTAAAGTTTGAACTCGCAGGGAGACCTAGTGCGAGCTTCACGTGAATATTTGGGAAACCCCTTTGCACTTTCGGGAAATTATCGGATATGAGAAAGAGTCGCAGTTCTCTTTCGAAGTTGCGTAATAATCCATACAATTCTGGGTGTTAACTGAAGTTTATATTTTGTATTGATTGCCCGCACCTCTGTCTGGCCGTAACCGATACGAAACATAGCTGTATCGGCCGATATATAATTATATAATGTATCTTCAATATAATCAAACATTTAATTTATTCTTTAAAAAGGTAAAGCGGCGCCTGGTACTAAGATTTTCCACTACGCAAATCGCAATATATAATAATCGTCCTTGTAAAGTTTACTGTGCATGTAAGAATGTTCATCTCAGGCGACTCTATAAAAGTCTGAATATTTGATTTTCATGCAAGTTTAGTGGGTCAAGCAAACAAATTATTATAACAATTTCTTTCTCAATCAGGCTTTTATACTCAATCCAATTCATGACGGACATTTTTCATTTCTATTTAACATAGTTTTTTTATATGTGCCTATTTTTTAATCATTTATATTATTGAAATTATTTAGTGTGTTGCTGATTATAAGCCTATTCTAGAAAATTAACCAAATGATCATAATAAACGTTAATCTTGCTATACTATTTTTTAAAAAAATTGCGTCGTCTTCAAAGCCTGTCATCCTTTCCTCCTTCTTTATAACTGAGAACTTTAATGAAAAGTATAATAAATGGATTTCTATTTCGGATAATTCCTGCAACTGCTTAATAAACTGACCGCGCTGTCACTTTTGGGACGAATTTTTTACGTACTAGGTATTGAGACACAATACGAAGGTATTGACTCACAATACGAAGGTATTGTGAGTCAATACGAAGGTATTGACTCACAATACGAAGGTGCATTGTGCCACTTCTTCCTCTGCCATACATTATGAATATTATTATAATTGGTGGCACACTCAATCATTATAGACTTGAAGTTTCAGAGTATTTCCGTGAACTTCTAGATTTCTCATTTAGCAGAAAGTTCTGAGTAGATTTATCTTGGTTGACAATACGGTTAAAATGAAACGCATTTGCTCGCTTTATGGTTGCGTTTGAGACGGGACATTAATTAGGGTAAAAACGTAACGATGTTCAAGTAGTTTGTTTAGTGTGTTCTGTTATGGAGTGTAGAACTGTCGATAAATTGTAGACATCACGAATAGTTATGATAAAAGTAACATTTTCTCGGGTTTTCAGCTTATTTATTTGTGGGTTTCCTTAATAAAACGAAAATTTATTCAGTTTGTTTTAATTTTAGAAAATTCTTCTAAATCATTTAAACGTGATTGACCTACGTTGACTTAGATTTCAAAAATATAATGAGATAATCTATAAACTTTGTTTTTTTTTCAAACTCGGGTTATTAAAATAACGAACGACTTAAAATTCACCTCTACTAATGAGGTTCATACGGTTGGGCCAACTGGGCGCAGGTTTAACGCAATACGCCCACGCCCTGCGCCTGCGCGTTAATTTGATTGAGGAAAATGTTTGCTTCAGCAAAGTGCGACGGTGCCAAGTCTCGCGGCGGGCGACGGTGCCAAGTCTCGCGGCGGGCGACGTTGCCAAGTCTCGCGGCGGGCGACGTTGCCAAGTCTCGCGGCGGGCGCGTCCGCCAGTCGACCGGCTGGAATTTTTTTTAATAATTTAACCGGACTTGCGGTTGCTGTTGGACGTAAACAAAGCGTCACTAATATTTCGGTTGTTTTAAGTAGACGAAATCAGCCTTTGTTGTCCGAGATTGAAGACAATGCACAATTGTTCTATTGTTTCTTTTCATGTGTTAAATGAATAACATTTTCGCGTTAGTTTACGTGAACAAAGCATAAAAATTTTTATTCATACATTTATGAGAGAAGATTTTTATAGATTTTCTTTCGATTGTTGCACGCAAAAAAATCGTTGCTGATTGTTATGGAGATTCTATTAGTGTAATGTTAACGATGTACTGTTAGCCTCAGAAAAGAAAATGGTCATAACTTCAACAGTCAACGAATTAACAACATTCATGCATTGTCAATGAACTTTAAAGTTTAGAATCAATTAGAATCTTTATCGAACTTGAGAAAACTCCAGGAGATTGATGGAACAATTAAATCCTAAATATAAAGGAAGATGAAAAGATTCCCGGCAGTAAACAGTAACAACTTTTCCTAGTTCAGCTGATGACTAGCTTATGATGGAGACAAATTTCTTTTAATTTACGTTTGTTAATTGACGCGAAGCGTGTCACTTGGGCATCGTTTGCATTAATGTAATAACTATACGGTCAGCGGATGATGTGCAGCCTCAGCAAGAACCATTTACCCAGATATTGTAATGCGAATTAACCTTCGATAAAACATTCGTTCTTAGCACTTTTCGCGAGATGTCAGACGTAGAAACGCAGTCTTTAACAATATAAATTAAAATCTTTCTTGAAAACTGAATTTGAATATTTCGCCTGCGTGTCTCTTTACCTTATAAATTTACACGAAAAACTTGGTTTGTAATGAGGGAGTGAATTTTAGAAGCAATGCAAATGATATTGTTAACTTATCACAGACAAATTAAATTATTTGATTAAAAAATTTGAATGAAGAAACATATTTAGCCTAAATATTGTAAAAAATTATTTGGTTGCTACTTATTTTAAATGTTTCGCAAATTCAAGCAACTCAAATTGCATGCAAATCTTGCGCATCTGACATTGATGCGGTAGATAACCAACACAATGGAGTTGCTAAATCAAACAATTCCTTTCGCATCGCATTAGTCATTCTAATTAAAAAAGTAGGTAAAATTTTACATAACTGTATGATAACATCGAATACCCCTCTGGCAGATCAGTCAAGCCTTACTTGTCGGCAAACGGATTTCAGAAATGAAATCAATGGATATTGTTTTCCTATATAATCATTCCCATTGTATCAAATCGATGATAAATTGTTCCAAGTTGGACATGGATATTGCACAGCAAGTGACATGAAATAGATGCATTATATTTCAAAATCGTCATTGTTTGATGGGTTCTATCTCATGGTGATGATTTACTTCAGTAACCCCTCAAAGAAAACGATCGGCGAATGCGTAGAAAACATTTATAAGGCGGACTGTTTCAAATGTATTAGGAATTTGATTCAAATGCAACAAAAATAACAAAGGAGGTCTGTCCTTGATTAAACGAATTTTTAGCGTATTTCCAGACTGGCAGCGGAGACTAGGAGGTGTTGTGTGGGTGACGGAGTTCACAGGAGTTCGCAGTGTCTCGAGATGAGCAAAGAAAAATGCCATATGTTGATAAAGTCAAAATTGAAGCATCGCGTTGCGAGTTCGAAACCCTAACAAGTTGTAATAATTATGCAATGTCTAGAATCAGCGACCGGCCTTATATGGCATATCTAACTTTGATTCCTATATTACTATTGCGATAAGTAGAGAATTAAGTTTAGGGACTGTGAAGTCACTGCTTTCCCTAGGGCCAGTAGATGCAGTAATGTCACTGCTCACTCTAGGGCCAGGAGAGGCAGTGATGTCACTGCTCACTCTAGGGCCAGGAGAGGCAGTGATGTCACTGCTCACTCTAGGACCAGTAGAGGCAGTGATGTCACTGCGCATTCAGCAGAATCATCAGGCAGTGACTGCACAGCCTGCGCAGTGATGACGATCGAGGCAAGTCCTTGCGACATTCATCGCAGTGACTTATACTTCATTACATCAACTCGGCTGTGTGCGTGACAATGTCACCCCAAAATATAAACACATAGACTATCAATATTACTAGAAAAACAAAATTAGGTAAAAATTTTATACACGATTCAGTTTGTCTAAGTAGTATTAGCGAATAATCTTATCCATGATGCTATATTGAATTTTGAGATTAATTAGCATAATTTTGTAGATATTTCAATTTATATAAAGCGAATACACATCGGAAAATTAAGATTAAAAACATATTTCCGATGAAGTTTTTAATCTAGAGTATCAATTGCAAAAATAATTTTTAGTGGGTAACTATTTAAAAATTATCAGCATATGATGCAAGTACCCACGCGCATAAATCCGGCGTCCATTATATTGATAATCCACTGTCACAATTGAGTTGTTGAATTCCGTCATATTACATGTTTCGCCATAAAAAAATGGCCTCACATTATTATGTAATCGTTGCCTACAGGTGCTTATACACGGGGCGATTAGTTGCGTCTTCTAGGCGACGCAACTAAAATTTGTGATGCTTGACGTGTTCAGAGGCAACTAGCTGGTTCATTGCAGGCAGAGCAACTCGAGTTGTCATGAAACCGTCTTGCGCTCAGTAGCGGCCCGGCCGTCTTAGCGTGCACAACTGCGTCGCTCTCTCATGCCCACTGCAGCGCGCACTGCTGTCGTGATCTCGCATGCCTCCACCGTGCACACCCTTACTCGACAACTCGCAACGTCGCACTGACGCGGGCGCAGTGTACCAAAGACACTATACTCGTGTATAGGCTCTCAGCCTGCAAAACTGTAGTAGACGCAACTAACCGCCTCGTGTATAAGCTCCTTAACACAGCCTCGGGTGAACTTCGGCCAGATCAGCCAATCAAACTTGCCGGCGGGGAGAGTGAATGCCGAGTTTCCATAGAAGCGTTCAGTTTGAAGCTGGTTTAACCTGCCACTAACTTGTGTTCTGTCGGGTCTCTGGTTAACCTGCCGCTAACTTGTGCTCTGTCAGGTCTCTGGTTAACCTGCCACTAACATGTGCTCTGTCTGGTCTCAGGTTAACCTGCAAAAAATGACCGCTCTGTCGGGTCTCTGGATAATCATTCCCATTGTATCAAATCGATGATAAATTGTTCGAGGTTGGACATGGATATAGCAAAGCAACTGACATATGAAAAGATGCATTATATTTCGAAATCGTCATTGTTTGAATGGTTCGATCACATGATGAAGATGAGGGCTCAAAAGATGAAGGGTTCGATCTCCTTGCGATGATTTACTTCAGTAGCCCATCATAGAAAATTATCGGTGAATGCCTGAGCAACTTTTTGAAGGCAGACTGTTTCAAATATATTCATGGAAATGATTTTAATGCATGNTCAACAACGAACCAGAGACTGACGCTAACGGCACAACCATCTACTACGAGAATGCCGCTGTGTGTGGGAGCTTCTTCGAATGGAGCGCCCCTTCTCACCGGGGGGCCTCTGCGCAGTGACGGCACCAGTCGAAGGAAGCGTGCGACCTTCGACGGCCAAACTCCCCGACCTCAACCCCAAGGGGGTCTCTTATAAAAATGAGACCGGGGAACCACAACAACAACAACTACGAGATTCAAATGACCGGCGATTATAAAGCATATGAACGAATCCTCCAATCCGTCGTTCACAACATCGTGAGCGTAATTAACAATAAAATGAAACTACTGATCTATTATAAAATCAAGTAAATATAGAATCTCGTAATAACTAATAACCCTGCAAAACAAGCGAAAGTTTTCCAAGAGACCAATGTAGTCTAAAAATTTTCCTGCAATAGAGAAGTTTGTAGACTTCTCTCTAACATGGACTACAACGGGCTCACAACTACGACGTTAAGCCGACGTCTGACGTGCCACCTTCAGTCTGGTGGACCAAGGAACCACCTGGTGGAGGCCCACAGCGAGGCCATCACTCGTACGGTGCTGGAGCAGTGCACCAGCGTCGTCATGAGATGCCCCGACGCCAACCGACTCGCGATAGCTGAGACCCTAATCATTAAGGATGGATCCCCAGCCATCAACCTTCAAACTACAGGATTTGTCAGAACCTTGAGACTGTTTTCGGAGTAATTTTTGGCGCTCTATTTTTTGTCTTCCTCATATTTTCGTGGTTTGGCGATTGCTCCTAACCAGATTTTAGAGTAGTACTCTATTTACAAGATTTTGTACTTATGTCGACCCAAATTTCGTCAATGAATGCGTCTTGTAACTTGATAATGAATGATTGATTCATTACAAACGTTGTTTAGGAACTAAAAATGTCCATCGGTACGCTGATTATTGATTTACCAATGAAAATTCGAATAAGAAAATTGTCAACAAAACGAATTTTCTGGCCTTCAATGGAACCTTCTTAAAAGATATTCGGGACCTAAGGCGGAGAACGCGTTTCATCAATGAACTTTCAATTTGTTGTTTTTTTCATGGAATATCAAACATGAATGTCACGAAACCCTTTAATAATTATATGAAGGTTGCATATGATTATGAAGTGACGCAGACACTTGGCAGGCGACGCAGACACTTGGTAGGCGACGCAGACACTTGGCAGGCGACGCAGACACTTGGCAGGCGACGCAGACACTTGGCAGGCGACGCAGACACTTGACAGGCGACGCAGACACTTGGCAGGCGACGCAGGCACTTGGCAGGCGACGCAGACACTTGGCAGGCGACGCAGACACTTGGCAGGCGACGCAGACACTTCAGGTCTGGTCTGCTGCAGGAGGGCTGACGCTGGTGGGGACTCAGGGTCCAGGGTAAGGCGCCCAGAACGTGGTCTCCCCGCCAGGGACTGCAATGTACAGAGTAATTTTTAACATGGATGCCTTATTGTGCAATGTACAGAGAAATTATTAACATGGATGCCTTATTGTGCAATGTACAGAGTAATTATTAACATGGATGCCTTATTGTGCAATGTACAGAGTAATTATTAACATGGATGCCTTATTGTGCAATGTACAGAGTAATTATTAACATGGATG